TCACAATAGAAAAATTTTATTTTCCTTTTTTAAATTTCATCAAGTAAATTGATATAATGATGAAAAGGACCGCTGAGATTGTCATACAGATGATAAGGATCCAAAAATGGATTGGAAGAATATTCATTTTCTCTTGTTTAAAAAACGAAACATAGAGAAATGATAACTGTATTTGATAAAAAGGGAAAATTTCCGGTAACAAATTCTTAATTCTTTCAATCAGAAGTTCTTTCCTAGATTAATTCAAAAGATTAGAATATCAGTGATTTATCAATTGTTGTAAATCATTGTTAAGAATAAAATTAACTTATATTTAACATGATGAGATCAACGATTTGAGGGATTTATTTAGATTTTATCAACTTAATGATTAATTTCTCAAAAAAAAACTTTCCATTAAATTTTTTAAAATGTCTTTAAAAGGTTTTTAAATTTCAAATTAATTTTTGAGAGAAATTTCAGTTAGATGATTTTGATTGGTTTATGCGAGCAGACGATGATTTGTATGTGCGAGGAGAACAATTGGAGACATTGTTAAGGTTTATCTTCCTGATAACTTTCATGATTAAAGATGGAGAGTTTCTACTTTTAAGATTGTTTGTAAAATCAAACTTCTAATTTTAAAGAATTGCCGGAATTTACGAAGTTTTTGTTGGCTTAACTATGATAAATGAAATAGATGAACACAAACAAGGATCATAGAAATGAAGAAAGAGCTTATTTTCTTGATATCCATATATTATGTATTAGATCTCTGGATTCGAATAAAGCGCATTTAATTGGCCAAGCTGGACTGGGTAATACAGCAGAATATGGGCAGCTGGCTCTTGGTCAAGAGGATAATTATTGTATGGGTGGACCAGGTATTGTGATGTCCCGGATGACATTACGTCTTCTTGCTCCACATTTGCGTTCATGTTTGATGGAAATGTTCACTACTCATGAGGATGTCGAACTTGGAAGGTATTATTTACTATTTTGCATGGTACTATGATTACCATTACTATCATAAGCTGTCAAAAACGATATCAATTATTACAAAACTGATTCATTCTGTGATAGTAATCTTTTATTTTCGTTATTTCAGTTTGCTTTTCTCTTTGAAAAAAACTATTCGATTAAAAAATGATCAATTTAACGTGCGGGTCACTTATTGAAACCATACTGAGATGATCAATTTTATATTGTTTAGATGTATACGTAAACATGTTGGTATCACATGCACGTGGAATTACGAGATGCAAACATTATTTCATAATAACCAAACAATACCAAATGCTTATCAAGGTAGTTTAACCGAATTACGTCATGCTATCACGTTGCATCCAGTCAAGCAACCATCAATAATGCGTCGAATTCATGTTCACAATCGTATCCTCCGGCTCTCGATGTTACGTTCTACACGTGTCACATTGTTGAATGAATTACCGAATCGGAAAGCACCATCACTTATACGTCATATCTCAAATTCAACCCGTGATCTTTTTCACTGGGATTTTATTTCATCAAACAATATCTTATTTTGTGCTAGCCAAGTGAATTGTCCAAGGCATACACTTGATTTAAGTATACGAATGGCACTCAGTGAAATTATTGCGCAGGTATTATTATGGTTATCTTTATCTGATTATCATCATCGTCACTATTGTCCAATCCCATGTTGTATCAATATCATTGCCATTATCGCATTTATTAATTGATAACTACTTATAATTTCCATAAATATCAACCTATCACTAAGTGCACATTTCATAAACTTCGTTGGAGCTTGAAGTTTTATAATTGCATTAACTTCTCATATGGTAACTTAAAATATCTTAGCTTTTCGATGAATTTAATGCAAATGCTCGACAGCGAGGTCGCATATTGCGATTTCAAAACATTCAATACGGTTATATGAGAGTTGAACCACGTCATGGTGTTGATTATGTTCTCGATATGGTATTGTGGTTTAAGAAGATACGTCCACCTCATAGGTTGCTTCATTACTTTTTCCGGTAGTTTAAAATTAATGCCAAATTTAATGTCAAAAGATCAATATTTTCCATGAGATATTTATTTACGTAATATTGGAAGATTCAAAATATCGAGATATCCTATTATATCAGATAAGGATAAATGATATGAATGTATATATCACTACTCATATACGACTAAATTTTTATAGGACAACACTTTCTGTTCGTCGTCATGCTTATATCCAGCAAACATTTGGATCGTTGGAAATTATATCGGATAGTTTTTTTCGAGATACTTTACGACAACGTATCACTAAGAGTATCAGTCTGTGGAAGCAAGCAAATGAATCAAAAGATTTTAATTGGAAACAAATGAAATTACCACCGGAAAAATTTCACATACATATGATATTGCCACTTGACGGAAGAGCCGACTCTTTTAAGAGGTTGATTTTTCTTCTATTAATAAGTCAAAAAAAGAAATATAGCTTAGCGACTTTGATTTTTAGACTTCTTGAAGAGTACATTAGAAATTCCATCTAAAATGACTTTTCCATCACTTTCAGGCTATTTCGACTTTCAAAGATACACAAATCTTTCTGCAACCTCATTAGAACATAATGTATTGTTTCAAAATCTAACAATTAAATAAGAGGAATTATGAAATCTATGAGATGGGTTATATCTTCGCAAAAATGGTATGTAAATTAGCGCAAAGATATAGTGGGAAGTTAATAAATGATTGATGATTGATCGCATAATAATTATTATACGTTAATTCTTCTATAGATTTGCAAATAATCTAAGAACGGTATGTCTCAATAGACGGATATTTTCACTTATTTTGGTAATCTATAATTCGACACCCGATATCGATGCGACAATTGCAGCGTTAATCAATGAAATTAAATTGGAAATTAATGTTAGGGTTCGTCCTATACTTTTTTGGATAACATCAGTTTGAAATTGACCGGTTTATAGCAATTTATTATCTGACATATGTCTTCACATTAATGTAAGCAGATAATATCTGGGCAATCTGTCATCTTCATCTCTAAGATATCACTAAAAATCTTTTTTAAAAGCTTATTTCTACATTAGACATTTTATTCGAAATATTTGGTATAATTGACATTTGACAGATAGCAATATGCTTAATAATATATGATAAGATAATACTTCAGTAGTTGCTAGGCTTTTTTTTAAGTGCGGAATTCAAAAGATGAGGATCGGACCGGCTAGAAACATTTTACTATAGTCATAACAGTGGGAAAAAAATTACTATTTTCATTTCAACTGTATAGCTTTCTAGATTGTCAATATGGGTTCGCAACCATTCAGTCGTGGTGTTGCACTTTCCCGCGGTGCTGATATTTTGGGACCAGATGCCCTAATGTTTTTTATTGATGTTGATATTCTTTTTACTTGTGATACTCTTGATCGGGTTATACGCAATACTGTACGTGGTGCTCAGGTAAATTAATCAAATATGCTCTCAATCTACCAATTTTTAAGTAACATTTTTTTAAATCTTCTGACCAAAATTCAAAAATTATAGTTCTGAAAGTAAAAGTGGAGAAATTTCAGATATATTTTCCGATAGTATTTAGCGAATATTCACCAGAAACATGGTCGGATGGTGACCGATTACTTTCCGACGCATTTCATTATGGTCGAAAAAGAGGCTATTTTCGACATTTTGGATTTGGACTGGTATCCATTTACAAATCCGACTTAGATCTCATTGGAGGCATGAACTTGAATATACAGGTGAGCTATCACTATTTTCAGCATAGAGCGAAAAGTGAAGTTATTGAGGTTTGTCGGCTCTTATGTTTAATTCTTTGGTAGAAATATCCGTCCAAATGAGATATAGTTCTAAGAAACAAATTTAAAATAAAATATCATTTCAGGGGTGGGGCATGGAAGATGTGGATTTTTTTGAGAAATGTGTTCGCTCACCACTACGTATAATGCGTGCACCGGATCCAGGTCTTGTCCACATCTATCACACCATACACTGCGCTGAATCACTCCCAGAAAAACAATATGTTATGTGTGTTGGCTCGAAGGCGGCAAGTTTAGCATCGCTCGATTCTTTGGTTGACCAGTTATCTGTATATTCTTGACACTTGCTCAACTTTAGGTTTTTATCAAAATTAAAATTAAATCTGGAATTCAAGTTTGTGCCCGAAATTATTCAATTAAAATGATATGCGTGAAATAATCCGTTTAGAGTTGGAAGGTAGAATTAATTGATTACAAATACAATATAGCATACGTAACAGTTTGCTTACTTTCACTTTCATGCTGGTCCAATTTGAGCTTACCTTTGAATTTTGTAATTCATTTCGATCAATGCTGCTCACTTCCATTTCCCTGTCATATCAGTTGTTGTTTTTGTTTGTTATTGATTTTCAAAAGCGATTCACAAAACTGCATATACTACAACTATCGCGCATAATGATAATTTATTAAATTTTGTTCTAGCCCAGACTTATGACAATAACAAGAATATTGGAATGATACAATCAAATTGAGAACCGTAAATAGGATTGACAATATGCTCAGTTGTACTTACACTATTTGTTAGGTTATTACACTGATATACCCACGGTACTAAAAAAGTTGCAATGAGTTTTTTAGTTTAGAATCAATTTACAACAATTTTCGTTAAAGAAATGTTATCGTAATCTTACATTCAAAAAAATTTTCCGCGAACTGTTTCAATAATTCACTTAAAAAACCTAATAAAAAGTTCAAACCGTAAATAGTTGTCCATGAATGAGTATAACGATAAAGAAAAAATGGCCCCATGATCTCAAGAATCGCCTTAATAACTCAAGGAATTGGTCCTCTCTGAGGTCTCTTTTATATAATGAGATTCTTAATTCTCACCCTTCAGAAACACAGATTAAGTTGTCCTATGCTCATACTTCAATATAACAAATATAACTGAAAGCAAAAGCAATGGAGTCATCGTGAAGAGGACCTATATTTTCGGTTGTATTGAAAAGAAAAAACTCCCGATTTATATAGCTCTCACCACATGAATCTCTGTTTAATGCCTGGTTCATGTAACCATTCGAAAGGCCTATATAGGAATACATACAAAACAATAGCATTAATAAGAAGCTCATAAATCAATTCTAGAATAATTACCGGAATCCGTCGTTCTGGATAGCTAAGGCGCCAGAAAATGTAAGGCACAATGAAATACCTTAGTTCTAGCAGATATGCCGGTACTAATACTGCCGCTGTTCCCGAAATATATAACAAAGTAAGAGGTCTTGAAATATGCCCCATCATTTGGCTAAATAACTGAAGTGCTATGATATAAAGGACTATAGTAAAATATTTACAGTATGGATGACGTAAAAACCACCGCCTCCAAATGTAAAAAGTGAAGTGACGATTGTCAGCCAACAAATATGGATGTTGTAACGTGAAAAAGTAAACGCAACAGGTGAAAAGTAAACATGAAATCAACAATTTAAAAGGCTTACGGATGATATACCCAATGCATCGATAAGTTTTGGAAGAAAATACTAATAAAGGTGCTGAACTGAAACAAAAAAAGATCAAGAAATAAGAAATCTGCATGAAATGGGCCACTGGCTGATGGGCCAAACGATCACCGAGCACTATATTATTATCATTCAATATGAAAAAAATGATGAAACCAACGGGCAATAGTAATAATGACCACAGATGCAGCAAGCTCTTAATCACCACTACTATTGATAAAGTGCCTTTATTCTGCTTTTTGGATAAAATAAACAAATGAGTTAAACCATAGACTGCTGCCCAAACGATGTTTGTTTGTCGGGTACATATAGAAATAGCAAAAACTGAAGAGGACAGTATACTCGGTTGAAGAGCAGCAGCCCACAATAGTGTTGTTAATGATAACAAATCAGTATAATACAGGAATGAAGAATGAAAAAGTACAGGAAGTAATAGAGCTGTTAGGGAACTTAATGCAAATTCCATATACCGAGAATTTAATTTGGATACGGGTTTCTGGAAGAGTTGTCGGAACCGAATGCAACCAACAAAAGCGAAAGGAATCAAGGCAGAATTAGTATATCGTTCATAACCACAAAAAAAAGGTAGCGAAAGTATATATATAGCTGGCGGTGTCGTAATTTTTTGATTCCATCTAAAATCATCATATTAGTTTAAAAAATTAATTGAACGAATTATGAACAGAAAAGAATTATTTCAACCTAGAAAGATTGCAGGAAGGTTGCACAGTTGTCCAACAAAATGTACAAAATCATCTCATCCAATTCATTAATTAGAATTTTTAATTGTGTTAGGAAAATTAATTGAAATTCTTTTCAATTTAACAAATTACAAACGCATTCCTTTAATCTGCCCGTCTATAACCTTTTCCGGACAATATTTCACACTAATAAATTATCTGTAAAAAGAACATCCTCATATAATGCCACCTGATGCCTTGTTGATAAAGCAATAACCCAATAGGAATTTAAAACTGACGTGAAATTCAATACACAAAAACGTCGTGCTTGATCAATGTGGAAAATTTCATCCATATACGGCTCCGGTACAATTTTGTACACATGGTTTACGAGGAAAGAATGTAATATACCAAGAAAACTGCCAATAAACCAATCCACTTAAATAAGAAAGAATTGAAGATTTTTCAAATCGTAAATCTAGCGTGTTACTATATAATTTTGTAGAAATAAAAGCATTTTCTTTCTTTATGTTAGCAAAATAAAGGATCTGTTTTTGTCTCAAAAAAATTAACATCGTTGTTCAATAAAATTATGTAAGAACCACAAAAAGAGATGCAGCGGATATTCTGTACTGTCTGACATTTGAAACCTTGATGTTTATATTTCATAATTTTAGCTGAATTAATTATGTTGGACTAAATTGATCTAAAAATCAGATTCATAAAAAAAATGAAAATGTGATTTCTTTTTATCTAGGCACTTTTTTGGACACCCAAAATGCAATCAAAATAACGTTAAACAATAAGTTCTCGTTGTTTTTTCAAAAATAATGAAAACAATATACCTATTTTACTATTCATATTCGTTCCTTACTGCATCATCATACGTATTAGATCCTTTTCTGCATCCAAATTGTTGTTGTTTCTTCCGGAACAGCTGGTCTTTTCGGAATAACTGGTTTCTTTTCCTACCTGCTTGTTGCAACATCAATTCATCAGCTACAAGCGCGAAAAAACTTCCGCAACTAGTGTTGAAATTATATTTCTCGTGCCAACTATTAACGAGTCAGTCACAGGATGAGGGACTTACACATTTGATGGCTCGGTATGTCATTAAATAGTATGGAACTGAATGGGTGGCGAGGAATTCGGTCATGGGGGTGGTTCTACCGTTTCTTTAATTTTTTATATGTGAGTGGATACTAATAGGATCGTTTATTGCACTTTAGATTAAAAGATAATTCAATTAAAAATCCTATTGCTTCAAATATTTGACAGACATGGTAATGTGCTGCACACGAGCAATTCAAAAGCTTTTTCCATTTGTTGTCGCATCAGAATCACTGTACATCCCAATGTATCGTACTATTGCTATATCGCAGTGCTTATTTACTGGTATGTTACGAATCATTTCTAAAATTACATCAGTTAGTTATTTAGAACTCATCAACGTTACTGAAATTGACTAATTGTAGCTCTTTCAAAAATGATTTGATCCATTAACTGGTAAGGTTATGAGTTTGTTCGAGGCTTGCATTCTCTTAACAATCAAGTGCTTATTAATGTCCGCTCTACTTATCCAAAACTTCAAGGAGTGCTTTACTATATTTTTATTTTACTAACCGTTCTACTATTATACTCAGTATTAGAAATTTAAGCATTTTAAATCATTTTAGATGGAACGATACAAAATTGGGCCATAGATAAGTAAATCTAATATTGAGTATAACTCACAATGTTCAAAAGAATATTTACAGATCGGTATTATACAAAAAAGCATGAATGGGTCATCATCGAAGGTAATACAGCAGTTGTTGGAATCAGTGATTTTGCGCAGGTTTAGTATTCTGATGGCTGGATTTGGCAAATTGGTCAGGGGGTTAATATTACGCAACATCTTGCTTTGAGAGGAATTTTTTCCGAGTAATGTTTTTGGACAGTTAAAATGACTTCCAGATATTTTAAGATATATAACACTTCGTCTGTATCATACAGTCATATGCAGACCATCATAGTCATAGAAGACCCAGCAATTGCGCTAGAGCTTTTTAAAAATTCGCATTTAATTTCCATTCAGTACTGAAGAAATTCATTTTTATTAAAGTGATGAAAATGTTTTCAGGCATCGTATGGTGATATTGTTTATGCAGAACTGCCTGAAGTTGGGAAAGAATTACATGCAGGCGATTCAGTTGGAGCAGTGGAAAGTGTTAAAGCAGCGTCAGATATCTATTCACCTATTTCTGGAACAGTTACGGAAAAGAACATCGAAGTTGAAAACACTCCGTCATTGATCAACAAATCTGCCCTTGATAAAGGTATGCTTTGATCTCCCAGGTATAGTCAATGAAGGTACTCTTTCCGGTCATTTGTTACGTAAGAAATGATTTGATGATATCTACTTAAATATAGAAAACGACTATATCCGCTTTCAAGTTAGAAAGAAAATGGTTAGATGATAGAAAAATAAATGTACTTTATCTTCTCTTATATAGCTTTTCATAATACTGAAACTAAAAGGCAAGAGAATTACTTCGCAGGTTAACAATATAATTATAAGGAAAGTTTGTTTCGTAAGGAAGTATGTTTCGTAAGGGAAGTACAGTGTACAAATATAGCTTAAAGGGAGTTTGTTGGATGTGATTTTGCTTTATTGCCATGAGTTATTTACCTTAATCCTTGTTTCAAATTATCTTTGTTCGCGACCAGCTCGCTGCTTGCGGGGATGGGAATGAACCTGCATGACTCCATGGCAAAAATACGTATCAGTTGATGAACTTTAATAAACAAGACACAATTTCAGGTTGGTTATTCAAATTGAAGGTAAAAGATGCAAATGAACTGAAAGAACTGATGAATGAGGCAGCTTACGAAGCATTCAAAAAAATGGAAGAGCAAGAAGCTGTTATCTAGATATCTCAGCGTTTGTCAATAGTTTCCATTCCCTAACTGCTGCCAGTTAATTCGTCATCCTTTTTGTTAATCTATCTTTAGAATTTTTTGAAACGTTGGAATAATTTACGCGAAATAAAAGAGCTGAACGTGAATATCGTTTATAAATTAGATAAACGAGCATAATTAAGGAGTAATCAGACAACTGAGGATATATTCTCTCGAAGAACATTCTTCTGTTGTAATGGTTTCGTCAATCAAATATCCCCAAAACTTACATTTCGCTTTTAAAAGTTTTGAATAAATAAGTCTCCATTGTTCAGTCTATACTAACGAATGCTGCATGATATATATTATTTTTCCTTATCTTTTTTTTTTTACATTGAAATATTGAATATATATATAATTTTAGACCGATTTTTAGGATAAGAATGTATAATTTTAGAATCGAAGTAATTCGTTTATACTTGTCGACTTCATATTTTTTTTGTTCGCTTTATTTTATTTTTGCAAGCAACAAACTACTATAACACCTAGAGTTTTGGCATCAAGGCAAGCTTTCTTTTTTCTTCTTTTTGGCCTTTCAATTTTGCAAATCTCACCTGTACAGCATACATATCTAAGAATCGATTACAGATTTAGTGAGTGAATTATCAGATAATTTCAGTCTCATCCGGCGTGCACTTGCATCCTAGTATTATTAATAAATTTTTTCTTTAAAGAATCATGTAAATCTTTTTATCTGAAGAGTTCTCTATATCGAAAGTTAATAAACTGGTCTAGGAAGAAAGTTTAATGGTTCAGAATACTTTTTTAGTTTTTATTGTTTAGAACGTGTATGATACAACAATAAGACTTCTCCAAGATGCGGATAGATAAAACACGAAAGTTATTCACAGTTGACAAATACCTTTACCTCTAGTTGTGCAAAATCGATGTAGTTGTATTTTTGAAATTCTTGATAAGAGAACAGATGCTGATATACCAATTAGATATGACATACCGTTGTGATTACATATTATTATCCTCCACTATCCTTTACTTTAAATATTGCTAAAATTTAAATTTTCAAAAAAAAATCTTTTGTATATTTTTCTATGAATTTCTTTCATATGAAATTTATTAGAAATATAAACAACACAACAACAACAGCAAAAAAAAATCATATTAGTCTCTAACATTGCTATTGCAAATTTACGATGACCTGACCCCAGTGATCAGTGATCAGTGCAATTAAAGTAGTCAAGTTAAGTTGCATACTATGCAAGCGAAAATCAATTTTACTGTATTCTTAATTTATTTTATTGATAAATAAAAATGAAATAACAGAGTGAGTCAGTATGATGAGTAAATGAAATACTACACTATACAAAAATTTTGTAAGGGCGAACTTTTATACTTTCCATAGCCAAACATTGTCGATCATATTGAGATTGTAAGTGATAAAAGGTGAAATTTATAATTTGGTCTGTAATTTGAATATCTTTCATCAGTGTGAACTAATCTGCGCACTAAGTGTTATAACTTAAATGCTATTCAATGTTTCAACAAAATGAGTAATTAAAAAAAGTCAATTAATATTGTAAAGGAAAAAAAGATTATCAATCTTAACAATATTAAGAAATCATTCTCATTTAATTCAAATATTTCTTTTTGTTCGAAATTCTTTTTTTTTCATATAAAAAACAGGAAATAAGAATTACATCAACTTGTAGTAATACTATATGATACTAATTTGTGCGATATGCATTAATGAATTGCATGCATGCATGCATGCATACATACGACTTTGTAGTTTTTTGCAACTTTATATCATTTATAATAATTAATAAATGAAGCAGAATTTTTTTCAGAAATAAAACTGAACAGAGTGGAATATTCGAGATTGATAAGAAGAAATAGATATTATGGGAAAAATATAGTACGACATGAATGATAGAATAAGAATAAGAAATAATCATTAGTTAGCAAACTATTCATTTAATCTTCCTTCAACTATCTTTCACTTTCTCACCATCTATTCGATCAATTCTTTTACTCCCAAAACGTGGATAATCTTCATCTCTTCAACAGATTAACAAAATATCTTTAATTGTAACTCTTATAGAAAACAAATTAAAATCATTCATTCGAAATTTATTTCGATTAAAAATATTTAATGAAATGCTCTCTCGAGAAAATCGTTTGGTAATTTTCTTTTGCTAAATTTTGAATTTTGATAGAGTTTTCATTTCTCTCTAAGAAAAGTTAATATTTCGAATATTCTAAACATTTCACAAAATTACAGTGTTTTCTGTTGCAAAAAATTTTCCTTTTTTTTTTGAGGCAAATCGCTAACATAAGAAGGAATTTGCTAATTATGAGTTCATATAATTAGTGCAAAAATAAAAACCAATAAATGAGTTCGATCTTTCTCTTTCAAATTAGATAATCAATCAATTCATAACTTAAATTTAAAAACAATACAATTTAGATAGCTAGAATGAAACGATGAAATCATGAAAGTCTTCGATTTCATTTTTAATTGCTAAATTTCATCTATTTGCTTTTTCTTTTTGCAATTCAAATTGCAAGCATTTTTGCAAGCAAATTGCAAGCAAGCTTTCATATTTATGATACATCACATTATGAGAAATTTCAAATATGAATTTTTTTAAAAGTATTTGTAAAAAGAAGCATTAAAATATCAAATTTCTAAAAAAAATTATGATGAAAAATCTGCAAAACAACCATTTTGACTTATGATAGATAAGACATCAAAACAACTTGCAATAGCCTATAAGATGATATATTGTAAACGATAAAATAAGAATATAGTTAAGTATAATAGATGTATGATAAAAAAGAAAGGAAAATATGGAAGGCACTTTGTGATTTGGTGTCCTGAAAGATGTTAATGGTAAACAAAGATAAGTATGTGATAGAAGTGTCTGACAAATCTGCTGCTATCAGTGCAGCTACAAAAGTTATCAATTATGATAGCAAAAATTAAATACATTAACTTTACGCGAATTGTTAACACATGCTGAATAGATAGATACGAACTCTGTTGCCTTTTCCTGCATTTTACTTCTTTCCAATTATTCCTCATTTCACCGTTTTGTTTGCTTAAAGAGAAAAATTGATGTAAGAGACTAAGTTGCTGCAAACTACGGAAAGAACAACAATCACAATCAACACTTTCTTCTTTGGTTTACTAATAAAATCTGCAACTAGCGGAAAGATCAAAAAAATTTTGATTATTGGATAATTGATGTTAACTGATAACAATCATTTTTTGATTTCTTACTACATGAAAACTGATTAGTTTTCAATACAATGTGTAATCAGAAATGCTGAGATGGATAACTAATATATGAGCAAATTAATTAATTTTTAATTTCACTTATTTTAGTGTTCTCTTTTGTTTCTAACAGTTCACATCATACAGATGTACCGAAAAGGTTTTTATTGTTGACAAATCAGAGTTAGGTTTACAAAATTTACGTTAGTTTGTCTTACTTTTCATTATTCTTCAACCATTTTTTCAAAACAAAATGTGTGCTGATATATAAACAGTTTGCTAATAATATCTGTCGTCACATTTCATTTTGCATATTTCGCATCGAATTTCCGGATTTCACAAAATAAACTGAAAATTATACTTTTGAAATTTCCGTTCCTCACGACAAACTATTCACTAATTTATACATTCATATTAGACAATCATATTATTAGAATAGATGTTCTTCTGTTCACTATGGATTCCTTCTTGTAGTTCAGTATCAGGAAACGATTGCGTACCACTAATTCCGGAACCTGTTATGCCTGTATACGTGTTTGCTGCAGGCGCCGCCGTTGGCAAATATCCGAAACAAAAAGATGAAGGTGGCTTCATAACCTGGAAAAGCAAATGAATTTATATTTATAAATTAGGGTAGTCGTTATAACATTCTTTCCTCATGCCAAATTATATCGAACAAGCGTATGAAAAAGAATGATTAATTTAAGGTCATGAAAGGGTTAGGTAGAAAAGAGCAAACCTCAAATATTTAATTTTAATTTCAAAGCTTTTCAAGCATAAATTGCAGTTTAAAAAATTTAACTTTAAAGAGCTTTAAAATTATGTGTGCTTGGCATGTTAATAAAATTCAATTTAAAATCAAGGCAACGTCGAAGGTTGGAGAGTAATAGGCTTGCAATGTGCAAATTATGTTCATGAATTAGTCTAAAACTGAGAAATGAAATTTCCAAGTATTAACCAACGAGCTTATCGAAGATAACGCGCAGCACAAACACATACACATAAGTATACATTTAGGCTGAAATAAAATACTTGAACTTTTGGAAAAAGCAATGAGGAAATAGCGCGGAAAGAAATAGCTGACCATATCCGGGCCCGGTAAACCATTTGACTGTGGAACGAATGGATTCATTAGACCAGAAAAATCATCCGGATGAGTCATCCATGCCCATGACGGTATTCCTGGTGTATTGTGCCGCACAGGTGGTAAATCAGCAATTGCACTACTTTCCGCCTTATCCTGACGACGCCATTTGGCACGCCGATTTTGGAACCATACCTAAAAACATTTTCTTTATTAAATGCACATATTGAGCATGAATCAATTAACAGGAAAATTCCTTTCATTTTTTAATTCATTAATTTTCTAATTTAATATTAATAGCGATTTAATTCAATTTTTATAATACGAATCGATCTATTGATGTTTAAATCAACCAAAAATGCTTAATCAAAACAGTTGACAATTGGATATTTTGAGAAAATATTTTATAGCGTTCTTCTGATGTTACTATTAAAATGTGTATTAAACACAGTCCCGGGTGAATTTGTTACTTTAAATTAAATTGCTATTAATTGCTTAGAAGAGATTCCGCAAAAAATTATGGAATCATTTAAACTAAAAGAAAAATATGGATTAAATGAAATTGAAAAAAAAATATATCAAGACTATCCTTAAATCAAAAATAAGGAAAAAATAATCATCGTGACAATATAGCCTGGAATTCGATCCACTAAAATGTTAAAAATAAATGAATAACTATTAATGCTAATAAAAGTCATAGTAAAATAAAGTGAATAGAATAAAAAGTTTCAAAGTATTTTTATAAATATTAAATTTCCTCCAAACTCATCAAATTAAATATTTATCTAAAAAAGGTAAAGAAGTTGCTAAATTTGTAATAACTGACAACTATAGTAATAACTATAGCTATAACTAGTAATAACTAGTTATATTGTGTTAATAGCTAGTAATAATTACAGCATCTCAATAACTTATTTAATCTCAAATCAACGCATAATCAGTAAAAGCAATATTTATTTTCAAAAAAATAAATAAATACCCCACTTAACCTATTCAAAAGACTATTTCCACTAATCTTATACCAGAAATAGTTATCAATTCAATAGACATTTTTTTGTCTTTTCGTGGATATAATTTTTGGGAATTTATCGGTAATTCGGATTATCGTCCGGTCTTAATGGAACTTAATAAGAGGAGAAGTCGGGAAAGCCTGAAGAGATTTGTCATTATGTCATTGTTTTGGTGTTGGGAAGAGATATGTTGAAGAAGGGAATGACAATTAGAGCTGACAGTTCGAAGGGATGAAATTTGAGATTATTTCGTACTCTCTCACAAACGACTTGAGGACTAATTAATGAGCCGAAACAAGACAAGCAGATTACCCCTTTTCTGAAAGGTCATACATATCATCTGAAAGCTATGAAAGTCTGGCTTTGAAAAAACTGAAGTAATTACACTTTCAGTACTTCAGTTATTCTATTTAGATTCCAAATTCAAGGATGAAAAAGTTATTGAAGTTAAAGATCCTAAAATTCAGGAGGCAATAATATCACAATATAATATCTAGTCTGGTTAGTTTAAATTTTTGAATACTGAACACTGTATTCAAAAATTTAAACTTTTCACTTACATCTATTTCGTATGAAGCTAATGGACATCAATAAATTAATAAATTATTGGCTTTTTAAGGACTGAAAGAAATAAAAACCAAAATAAACTGAAATGTATGTAACTCAGTTGAAATTAATTTGCTAGAGAGAGAATAAAGTAAAACATAAAAGTAGAATAGCTAACCTGAACACGAACTTCAGGAAGTTTCACTTTTTGGGCCAATAGCTGAAAATAAATAAGAAAATAATTTTTAGTATAAAATTTAAAATAATAACAAACCGTCTAAATATGAAATATATCTGTTTGAATGATTGCTTACTGATAGCCTTATCATTTTCTGAATTGAATATTTCCATTTCAAGAGGTAGTAGAAAAAGGAGAGATATAATTTACTAACTTCCATTTGAAATGCTTTAGATGAAAACCACCTTTTATAGCTGTAGAAATCGTTAGTTCATATATAAATCAAATTCATCAAATCTTAAATAAAATGAAAAGAAAATAATAACATACCTCTCTGGCATAAACATCCGGATAATGGCATCTTTCAAATGCTTGCTCCAATTCATGAAGCTGAAATGTTGTGAAAGTTGTTCTATTGCGCCTCTGTTTTTTTGACTCTCTGAAATAACATCTCTTGAGTTTTCTAAACAAAAATAATATGAAATTACTACTGCCTTGTGTTTTTTTAAGAAGCCTATATTTAACATTATAAATATTATTATTAAATAAAACATAGGCGTTTCATTTTTAGAAACAAACGCAAATTTGCATAAAATTTGGTGATACAATAACTTTGATAAATTTCCATTAGACATAATCTTCTCAACATTTCAATTAATATACTAATTTTTTAATTTAATTTTTAATAGCATTTAGATACGTTTTAATGAACACAGCTAATTATTATAATTTAGTCACAATTGAATCTTATAGGAGCAGATATTATTATAAAAGAGATTTACAACAGATTTACAAGATAATGAAATTAGTGCTTTTGGAAAATGAAAAACTTCGTAAATTTTAAACGAAGATAAGTAGTTATTATTAATAAAGGATATGGCAAGAGAAGATAAGTTATGTTGATAGAAATATTTCAAAAAGAGATTTTAAAAAAAGATTGTAGTCTAAGAAAAAATAAGTTAATAAATTTCAATTAAACATTTAAATTTAAACTTGGATTCAATTAATTTCCTTGTTAATATAGAAAGTATAAGGTGTGTAGAATTTAAATAATTAGATGATTTTTTTTCATCAATTGAAGATTAACTAACCTATCCCGACGTCTATTTCCATCACTATGCTGTTGATGAGCTCCTGATGCTACCGGAGAAGTAATCAAATCCGGAATTTTTATATGTCCATGCTGTGCTTCTAAAATTATCCCTTTCATGTGTTAAATTTTATTTTTAACTTCCACAATATTTATTTACATTTCTTTATGATTTTCGTATGTAATTAAAAAAAGAAACATTCAGCATGCTATCAACGTAAGAATGCTTATACTTCAAAGTGGTACAATATCATTCATTATGATAACAAACGATCGGTATAACTAATCATCGTATCAACATAAGTCAAATGTAAATTCGATAAAAAGTTTTTGAGTAAAAGATAACCGACCATTTCGTTGTATCAATGAGCTAATAGAGTGATGATGATGATGATGATGATGATGATTACTTGTATTGGTGGTTAATAGAGCACTACTACCGCACAACTCATCCATCATTTAGCAACCATAATCATCCTGATTGCCATTTCACACAATCACAAACGTCACATCATTTCTTGGATACGGTAAAGGTTGAGAAAGATAGGCGGAGAGAGGGTATTCTATTGGTTTAAGTAATGATGGACAACTATGCCATCAGAGAAAGGAACTATTTAGGAAAATGCTAATCCAATTATCGTTTTCGACGATATGCTTTAAAGAGCATTTCGTCAAAATTGTTCATCTCAGTTTGTAGCGGTATATTGCTGTGTGCATCATCAATTAGTACCGCAGCACTGAAATATCATGAAAATGAAGGAGGTAAGAAGTGAAAATGCCAACATCATTATCATACCTGTTAGAATGAATTGTTCCTGGTTCTTAATGGATTCTATCGATGGAAGAAAGAGAGTAAAAGAAGGGTTGGGTACATTGGAATATAAAAATTTTTAATAACAATAAGGTTCTCACTTCACCTCGATGAACCATTACTACTACTGTATCATTCATCATCTCCATTCATTACATTTCTCTTGTAGTTGAAAGTTCTTCCTTTTTTTGAGCTAGAATTTTGTTCATTTTTTAAATGTGTAAGATAAATGAAAAGCAAATGATATAATAATAATAATTTAACAAGTAAACATATAACATATTGTTTTGTTGGGTAATTAAAAAATGCTTGTAATGATTTGATATTATTATAGTCCAAAAACAGTTTGATATTATTTTGATATTATTACAGCCCAAATTTTGATATTAAATTTATTAATTTCTGATTTGACATTATTATAGTCTAAAAACACACAGAATGAATCCAGGGAAAATATTTTTGAATCTGAGACCTATCCAACATGTTCCAAGTGGTAATAACTTCAGAAATTAATAAATTTTCGAAATTTAACCAATACGGTGAACACCTTAAGTTGTATAGTGAACTTGCGGTGAAGTTAAAATTATATATGAAGGTATATAGTTCAAAATATAAAAAAAGCACTAACCAAGATTAGACTTTTTCAATAACTCTGAAATTTATCAATCGTCTTTAGAAAGTCTGATATGGATTTGTCACCCATACGACTCACAATTAACGCTGTAAGATCAAAACGGAGACAGTGAACAAATCGTTGTAATAACCAATTAAAGCTAATTTCGAGGAAAGAGGTCAAGTTCTGTTTCTTGAAGTTATTCACCTTGTTTTTGTCAGCTAGTTAAATAGTTGATTTAATTTTTTACATGTTTTTATAAAAATTGCACTCGAATGGATCTGATAAAAATGAGTGATATCAATTCTTTCACAAAAAATGAGAAATTAAATAATATAAAATGATTTTGAAAATGAACATAACACACTTCCTAGGCGCTGTTCCTTTATTTTAAATTCCAATTATTGAATTTCACATGAAAGGTTTGAAGCCGAAAAGAGAATAGAAAATGTATTGATGAACACGTTACCTATAGTGGAATAGTAATCAAGGCTACCGTAAATTCGCCATATGTCGACTTGCAATCCTTTGTATAGCTCTTTTTCAACAATCTCGAACACACCTAGCAGACAACACCTAGCACAGAAAAATCGGCCGGAGGACAAAATCCTTCCAATTTCCACAAAAACCAAATGATTTCTTTGTAACAACCATTATCCCTCCATATTCTAAGTGTTTCGTCACGTAACCTTTACGAAAATGAAAAACTTTAGCGCAATCGAAAAATTTTAATTACATGTTTTCTACCTTTCAATTCCTCCCTTGACAATGTAAAGCACCAAATTTCTTCTTGATCCTTTTCTTGGTTTGCTTGAACTTTATATTTTTGTTCAACTACACGTTTAAAAATACATACATAAGTCTTAGATTGAAATATTTCAGTTATTGACTACGGTCACATCAGCTTATACAATCCAAATGAAAATAATTTCAAAAAGATTTTCAAACCAGAACATTAAATAAGTTAGACATCTAAAAGTTCAAACTATCAAATACTCGTACCAAACACCAACAACAGAAATTTTGCATTCATGACTGTAGAACAGATCCTATTGTCTCAAATGCAACAGTATACACTTACTAAGACCAGCAAGTAAATGTAAACAAATAAACAGAAAATGAATAAACGAAACATAATTACACCTAAGTAAATTCATAATGCGCTGTTTATCACCTCATCAACATAAGTGCTTCGCGTATTTGAAGAAATTAAAATGCGATAGATACATTAATTGCGTTGATGAACAGTTTTCCTGAAATTTCTGCTGTCTAATCGTTGAGTAAAAAATTTTCTTGATTTTGTTCGTGCTTTTTTGGAGTAAAATTAATTAAAAATTAATTTGCATTATATCATCCTTCACAAAAAATCGATTTAAGATTCAATCATGATCCAAAAAGATAATGCAAGTTGATAAATCCAATTTGACAATAAGAATCACTGAAAAAGATGGATAAATAGAATAAAATGTATGTGACTAGAGAAAGTTTGAAATATAAACACGTGAAATAATAACAATAAATCCATAACTATAAACAATAATGACAGTTTAATTTAAGAAAGTCATATGGATCGACTAAAGCTCTATGGATATTCGAAAGTTTGTCCCAGAGATTGGAGATTTCATAAACCAAGAATATCAGTTTAAATGTACTTAATACATGAATTACAAAGGATTCATGTTTTCTAGACTTGTTTCCGGCACTCCAAACTTATGCAACTCCAAGTCTCATGTTTGTTCAGTCTTGTAAATAAGCAAGTACACGTCCAGAGACATTTCGAAATTACTCCGAATCATCGTCAACCTCCTGCTGATTCGAAAGGCTATCGTTCTTCAAATAGCTAAATGTTTTGCATAACTGCCTACCCATTTCCATCAGATGCTCAATATTTATCTAAAAATAACTATGAAACAACACTTTTCAAAAAAAAAATTGAATCAGATATAAAAATTCGACCTCGTTTTAATACGCTAAATGAATTTAATATATCTGTTCCTCTCTCACTGTTGATAATAAAACAAGAGTCAAAAAAAATTACTTGAATTTCACCATGTGACACTAAATAATTTCAGTCTAATCATGAAAAGGTCATTTTTCTAGACACAATCTATCAATGAATGGTCATTTTATGAATATTAAAAACAATTATGCCTAAAATCTGGAAAAAGAATATAATTTGTAACGAAAAAATATTAACTTTATTACCCGAAATAATGTGTTACAGAAACTAATATTTTTTGTATCAATATATGCATTTCAAAGAGCTTTAATTCTAAGATACTAACCTGGTAACCTTTCAAAGAACCACAATTGAAACCACAGTACGTAGATTCCAGGGTATACGATCGAGTGACACCAAACTGTCTCCACAGTGCTACACGAGCTGATGATTCTTTAGCTTTGGTTATGTTGAATCGACAACAAGATAGTGAAAAATAATCACACATCTGTGAGAAAATTTTTCCGTGGCACAACAGAATAAACTATCTAATTATGTGAAATTCAAAGAATTCAACAAAAGTTTTGAAAATCTTAAAGTTTCCCATGGCATAAGTGCTCATTTTTTCTATTTAACAAATCATCTATAAGCACACCTGCTGCAAAAGTAATGGAAGCGACATGAAATCACTTTTTCCTGGAAGCGAGTAATCCAAAATACGCCATGAGTTATCAGGATTGTTTCCATAAAGAAAGAAATTAAAATTATTGGAGTGACCATGTAGATCAACGAAGAGAAATGGTTTCTTTCGAAGTACATCAACCTAGAATTTGTATTTCTTTGCCTCTCCTAATCGCAGAAATAATTTTAAAAGATTGCACTAATATTCTACAGTGTTGGAAGTGAATCAGTGTGTGTTACAAGTTTTGAAATTAATACGGGAGTCTTGGGATGCGAAAAAAGTCAAAATGCCTTTTGCTTCAGGAAAGTCATGCCTATGCAATTGCACGTGTAATTATGCTTAAGTCATGCATAAGAAAAAAGAAAACCTACTATATATTGTACAATAGCTTTGCTGTGATAAATAACAGGATGCAATACTGATGAAGGTTGATCCCAAGTTCGATTTAAATCTACGCCAGCTAAGCTACAACGATGTGAACCGTTTACAACACCATCAACATTTAACATTGGAATTAATTTAAATACGAACTGATTACGAAGCTCCACAGCTTCTTCCTCATTGCTCATCAAGAAATCCATAATACCTTTAAAAGTTTCATATATTACAAAAGCTAAAGTTAACTATGAACAAAACAACACCAAAAAATCGTAAAAGTTCTTTAAATTTAAGCTTTGCCAATGTTTCTTATGTCTTCAAAGTAAAATATGATAGTCCATTCGTTATGAATGCAAAAATTATTTCGACAGACTTTCTACCAAAGGTTTAAATTTCAGTTAAAATTTTAATACTGTTATTTCTTTATTAGAAGCATGCTTCATCAATTTAACGTAGAAGAAAAATGAACAAAACACAAAAAAATAATTATTCCCAGTCAGACAATAACGCACGTTACAAACTATTAAAGATATCGAATATACTTCAGCTGTTTTATTGAAAAGAGAAAAGATCTAAAAGGATGCTCATTTCAAATTACTTTCTACGCAATATAACTTATTTTGCTTTCTTTAAGTTTTATTACATGCGCTACTTTACTTTTGAGTTTACCTAATATTTGTAGATATAAAAAAGTACCATGCATAATCCAACTTGCGTTATTTTCTCCGGGATGCACTCTGGCACACAGCAATATGATCTGACGATCAATCAACTGTTCCTTAGTACCACTAGCAGTCACTGTAAGGAGTGATACAGTATTACCAGCTAGTGATGTACATAACTGATCATTACGAACATAAAACTGTCCTTCTTTACCGTTTTTTGATAAATACCTTTCTAAGGTAGCCTGAAATCATTAAAAAATTTTAATATCTATGTTGTAATTACTTATAACGCATTTATTACCATATAATGAATACATGCCTAACTATGTTAAGCATACCACAGTGAATACACACTTATTGGTTGAGCAATATCAAAGCCTGTTCCTATATATATTATTTAATAAAGGAATGAAATTGAAAAATGATGAATGTATATAACGCTGATAGGAAGTATCAAATCACTTTTAAAGATTTCTTTAATTGTATTAAATACTAACTAAAAATTTTTAATCAGTCCCTTATAAATGAAAATTTCAAATCGGTCTTTTAAAAAAATTGAAAAATAAATACTAATCAAAAATTTTAAATCGGTCTTTTAAAAATGAAAAGACTTCTTAAAAATTCTTTTCTTTCTTTAAGGCTTTATTTAGAAGCAATTATTTTATTTTATATTTCATTTAAAATTGAACTCACTTCTCATAGAGATTTTTTATATTTATGTACACTTACATCATATAACATGTATTTGTTATCGCCCATATTTTGATATAATATAAAGTAGTCGTTCTCTATATTTAAAGTCTCCGCTTTGAGCAGGTGTTATTAGCTAACTAATAAACACTCGATCCTTTTTAGTTTCATAAATTCAGCCTCTTTTATCTCAACAAATGAGCTCGGAGCTATCGTTATAACAGTTTCAAGTTCAAAGATATATAATAAATTACTTGAAGCATTGAATATGTGTACGGGAAATGATAGGCAATGTAACATACATCAGCATGATATTTGAATCTGATTGTGAAATAGAGCGAAAAGTGGCGCCTGAAAAATTAGAGAATCATATAAATCTAAAAAAATTTTTTCCCATAGATTTATGTTTTATTATTGCCATACTAAAATCAGCAATTTTAACTTTCCAATAAAAATATCGAATTTTCGTATTGACACATGACAAGATAATAACGTTGAAATTACAAAAATGACGAATATGTGAAAATAGCTTAAAAATGAGAATATTTCAATAGATGAGATATCCGATTGGACCAGAGGATGAGGTTTTCAGGCATGTTTTACTGATAACATTATGCATTCGTTTTATTTCATAAACAAACAATCTACTCTAAAAAATTTGAGAATAAAAATACCTTGGAGAAGATGCATCATTCACTTTGCCAGAATCGTTACGGATGAAAGTATTACGACAATAACATATTGCTGAACCAGCACGTACCCATTTAGGATTTCCTCGACAAGCCTCTGTAACTGAGAACAGTACTGGCTGCATACCTGCAACAACCAGTTTTTTTAGCTGTTCACAATCACCTCTCCTTTATTAATAACCTCGCAAATATCTTTAATTATCATTCAGGAAACAAATTTATTGCAAAATCTTAATATTTCTGCTTTTATGAAAAATTTGTTCGAAAAAGCATCTTCTAAAATAATTATCTGAAATATAAAGAATCCGACAAATAGAACGTTAAGATAAATCATTACCACGACTAAACATGGATGTTCTTTTAAAGCAGTTAATAATTTCAAACATATAATCCACTCCTGCTTCATTATTGGAAACTTCAAAAAAGAACCATTGAAAATGTGGCCGTAACTGATTGATATCTGGTGATAATATTAACTGATAATGCCATTTATTTATCTAAAAGAATAAAACAATAATTTATTCCAAAAAAGTGAATTTTTATAACAAACACTAACAATTAGGCTTTTGAGATACTTGAAAATAATACTTGGATGGCTCGCCTCAAATTTCCACCTTCAAATCGGCTTTCAAACAACAGATGATTCTTGGAATCCATTTTACCAATCCTGGAATAAAAAGATGTTATCAGTTCAATGCCACTATTGCTTGTAAGCCATTTGAGATCGTTATACTGTTACACCCTTTCAATTCATACTTCGATGCTACGCGTAGAAAATTATTGCTAACTTATGAACAGGAGACTGTAAATATCTTATATGGGCAACATCAAAAAAGTCAATAATTTGGATAATACCGGTTCTCATCATTGTTTCCTATTGTTTTCCAGGATGCAAAGATTTCAGTTTTATCGCAAACCAAACAATCCAAATCATATACAGTACGAGCAGAGAATAACGATTCATCTCCCAAATGTACTACGTCTTTTGCCAATAAATCTCTTAAAGGATAAAAATGGTTGAGTGTCTAAAAGTTTTTAGCTTTTTTTGAAACAGATATCAGATGGAGAAGAGTTGACTATTGGAATTATAAATTTCAGTTTTGGAACTAACTTGGCGTTGATCAGCGATAAGGAATTAAATTGAAAATATTCATGAAATTTTTCGATAAAAGATAAAAAATTAACTAAATTGAACAATTCTAATTTTTTACAAATATTAACTCTTAACCCATTTCATACCGCTTTGAATCGCTTTTTGCCAGTGGTTGCAAAACGGAATGTAAATTTGTTGGAAGGAATGTTGCTGGATAAGCAATTTTTATGAAAACTGATGGCGATCTTGTTTTCTGCAATTTGTTAACACAATAACTATGTGTTCCAATACAGCTGCTAATTTTAAGTAACAATTAAGTTTAAAAGTCAAGACGATTAGTTTCAATTTCATTTAAAGGATGTGAAACGAAAATCAATTAAATGAATCAGTATTAATATTTACATTTACTGCTTTTGCCACCAAGTCAGCGAAATTTTCTACTTCTAATTTGTCCACCTTTGTCGTCACTGAAGGTGAACCTGCCGTGACAGTTCCTTGAAAAAATTCAATGAAATAATGGAAGTAGTCATCGGTTAGTTCAGTTAAAGAAACATGGTGGGAGAAGTTCGCAGGCACTGCGTGCGACTTATCCTTGTCATTGTTGCACAATGGCGTTACTGTAAACAATGCTTCGTCTTCATCGTCTCCACCGTCTTCATCTGTAACTACTTATGCTATAGATATTTCAATTATGAATTGTTAAGCACAATTTGTTTCAAGCAATTAAAATGTCGCATTTAAATTAGAATCCTGCGCTTAAACATCAATATTCGGGTCCTAATACTTATTGTAATATAACATTTCAAGTACTAATACTTCATACTATCTTCTATCTTATCCACCAATAGCCGAGCTTCGCAGTGCCGAGCGTTGTTATTTAAATACACCATGGTTCGTTCTATTCCACCTTGACAAAAACAGTTCTACGATAGCGAACCAAAAATCAATTTATATCAGTCAAATTATCTCTAATGCTTAGGCTAAATTTAGTATGCATACTCCTTTAATAATTATAAACCAGCCTTTAAATTACTTCCCAATTATGTCAACATGACTTTTCGGCTTTCAGTTTCATACTCAGAGCAAATTTTGAACCAAGATTCCCACTTTATTATTTACCTAAATCTCACGATATAATAAGGAGTTCCTATTTGATCAGTCCTTTTTTAAATAAAAATAAAGCATACCGCTACTTAAAGCAGGTTCATCTTGACGAATTGGAAAAGTATATAAGAAATTTCTCTCAATTTCTCTTTCACGTGGCCTAAAATGAGAACGGAATTATCGACAAATAATCAAATAACAAATTAAAAACTTGATGAGTCGTAATTTGATGTGATACTGCATAGATGTAAGCGATATCTTTTAACAGCGTGCATACCAAGAACAAAGTTGCTCTGGATCGTTGCGGATTTCTCTAGGAAGCGGGAAAATAATTGGTGGTGGTGTAGATGAGGGTATCGGAAATGGACGGAGAGGTAGACAACTCATATACAGTGCAATTAACGATTCCTGAAATATTTGGAACTTGCTTAGCAATACTTTATCAAATCACTGAATTCAAAAAATTGACTTGAAAAATAAGAATTACAATTCAAAAAATCAAGTGTAAATAAAAACTACTAAAGTTTAAAATTTAAAAAAAAAACTAAATCTCAGAGTAAAAGTTAAATTACAACACAGGATAAATTTAAAATTAAATGGAAGAGAAAGTAAGGACGGAATGTTCAATAATATTTCAAAGTATGACATTATCAGAGAATTCAGAATAAATTCCACTGATAAATGAATATTAAATTAAAAATGTATTTGTAAGACGAGCTGCCGCATTTTTCATAACTATTACTCATTATGTCGAATAGATTTAGTTCAAATTATATCACCAATGTGAAATGAATCTCACACGAACTCATGTATCAGACACAACGATATCAATAAATAAAAATGTTTAACAACATAAACACATGTGGTCCGATTTTAAATTTGAAATCGACTATTTTGCACTAATTATAAATGCTAAGTGGTGGGTGGGATTGGAAATAAAGTTTTGTTGTAAGCTAAATAAAAAAACGTGAAGCGGGAATAGAAAGATGAAGAGGGTTTTTCATTCTTCATAATAAATGGTTACATCAATCTCTTATCCAAGAAAAACAGAACAAATTTATTAAACACAAAAATATAAGAGAACAAATCTAAGTAAAAAAAGAAGAATATGATTATAATTCCTCTAAAGTGATAAAGTTTTATAGGAATTTAGAAGTTATTTATTCCGATGATCGGTTACAATCGGAATTTGTTGATTTCAATTAGCTAACACTGATAATTTCGAGACCAACAGGAGATATACAAGATAAAGATCCTATCAAAGCAATTATGGAACGCTAGTTTTCACCAAATGTTAAGCTACTGATAATGCAAATGATGCGCCTTATGTAACAAGTATGCCTATGAAATATATTTTAAATTCATGAAAAAGAATGTTTTTGCAAATTCAAAATGACAGTTTTTTAAAAAGTCACTATCCTAGTAATTATCTTTTTTTCATTGTAATTATTTGATTAAATCTAAATAAACTGTGAGAATTTTGGATGAAAAGCGACTTAAAATAAACTGGGAACTTGATTGGTTTCAACTAAAATTCAAGGATTTAAAATAAAAATTTCGCACTTTGAAACAAAATAGCAATTATAATAGCTTGAAAATTTTTCAAATAATCAGTGACTCAAATCTGATAATCTAACTGCTTAATTGCTGAATTCTCTATCTTTACACAATTTACAAGTTTACAACAAAGATGATCAGCTAGCTAAAAAATTAAAACATAAAGGAGGAGTATTGAGGAATAATCATCAACTTGTGGAAAATTTAACTCGAATGAACATTTCTGAATTTCTAATTAAAGTTGCTACTAAATAAAATTCACCTTTATCTAATTAAAAATGCTACCGCGTATAAATTTTAAAGCCATTTTACACTTCAAACAGTGTGATACAATGTATCGGTTACTGAAAATTTTGTTTATGATTATGAGTATATATCAATGAGATTGATACTTCTTTATATTTGACGTGTAGCTGTGGAAACAATAGAAAATGCACTACACAGAATGACTGGATATTTTTGGAAAATTTAGAAACTCTAACTTCAATTCATTTTCTTTCGATTTTGTTCAGCAGGGCAGCCAAATCAAAATAAAGTGAAAATAGAACTCGGACACACAAGTTTGACTTTAAGTCTACAACTTGAGTTTCTTCTATCACATCATTATTATAAGTTTAATAGAATTAAGGAGAAAATTAGCTTGCAAGATAATATAACCACACTTGAACAAAGCCTTGCATAAGCTTCCTAAAGAGTTCTGGACAACGTGCGCCAACATTTCATGATGAAGTATTTAGTAAAAGAAATAAGTTACTGCTATAAATTAAATCGACAGAGTAATAAGAAAGTGTAAAAGAAAAACCTTGGATTTTCCATAAGTGGTCTTTCTATCAAAAAGACAGAATATTAAAAATTAATAATGGTATATGATAATGACAGAATATAATAATAATAGAACGGAATAAGAATTTCCAATGAAAATAAGATCAGAACTTCAATTCGAGCGGCATTACTCTTATCAGAGATTTAATAAATCTAGGTAGAACTAGTTATTATATTAATCAATAAATTTTGTAAAATTAGTTAAATCTCCCAAAAATTCAAAAACATTTGGAAGTATTGGTCTATAAAAATCCAAAAAATTCTCAGATAAAAGTGGATTCTTTGAAATCTAAGGCTGCATCATATTGCTTTTATAAATATAACCTTAAGATTTATAACAGACGGTCCCACTGGTGAGTTATCATACAGGTACTCTTCGTCATTGTTAATGAGTGAAATAGCTGAATTGAACGTTTCCATTGCGCCAATAGCTAGTAGACGTTCTCTATTACGTTCTAAATCCCGACAATACCAGTACTTTATCATAATCTTTCTTTTATTAAGCTCAGAACTGGAAAAAATCATTTTAATTCAAAAGAATTACAATGGCTATACCATTCCGACACTATTCAAATACAGATGAAATTCCAAATATTTAATGAGAAATTGCAAACGTAGTTACTTAGCCTTATTAGATTCCTTAACGATACCACCGTAAACAAGCAAATTTCCAGGATAGCCTGCTCAGACGCACTGAACCGTTGTTGAAGATACTTTTGAAAAGTTTTTGTTAATATGGTAAAAATATCATTCGACTCCAATATAGTCATTACGAGACGATTTTCTGGAAATTCTATTAAATTAATATGATACACATAATTCAATATGAATAAGAATTGGGTCAATAAGTGAATATTATATAATTTCTTAAGCTAAAAAAATAAAAAAATTAGCTAAAAACAATATAATAAGAACATTGTTATAATTAAGCAAAGAAGACAACCAATTAGAGAAATTTTTTGCCAATATTAGTCAATATAATAGCCGTAAATTTGAAAAAAAAAAGGAAAATTAATTGGGAAAGATAATGAAATGGAAATACATACTGAATTTGATGATCACATAAAGTATTTCTGTAAGGCGAGCCACAACTATTATATCCGTGCCAGAAATAATTGCTGTTATTAAATTCCTCATAATTTTTTGACTTCTGCCAAACATTCGCGCATTTTGCACTGAATTACACATTTGAGATAACTTCCAATTTTATGATCCTTTCTTAATAATCGAAGAATCCATTTTTTTTATTACAGTTAGATCTGATAGTGCGAAACACTCTAAATGACTGTAAGATCATGCCGTCGGACTTTGATCTCCTTGCAGTAGTCCAGCTACACCAATTGCCAACCATCCTTCTAATTAATCTTTGCTGGATATCTTCATATGAAATAAAGCTCAAACAAAAAGAAAAATGTAAAAACAAAAAAAGGAAACGATGTGCCAAATCTTTGCGAGTATTAATCCAACTGCTCTATTCATTTTTTCTAAAACAAAAATAGAACAAAATGCTGTCAAAAACAAACTAATGAACCACTTGAAAGAAGATGTTCATAGCATTTTCTATCTCTAGATTTTTCTTAATTCATTCGGAGCTTATTTCCTTGCCACTTAATTGTTTTTTACCTAGATTTAAGTTCTTAGATGTAGGCACAAATAGAAGAGCTCAAGCGGAATTCTGCTATCTACTCCGTAAAAATGATGTGCTTTGCTTTACCACAACTGCTCTTTTAAAGATTCAATTATTAAAAAATAAATGAAAATGTACCTGAACGAATACAGCAACAACATAACTGCAGAACCGATATCATTCTCCTGTCTTTAGCGAGCAATAATAACTTTTTTTGGAATAGAGTAATCAAACCATTCAAACGAACTTTTAGACAAAATTTTTTGTCTGCAAAAGTAGTGAATGCATGCTGAAGAATAATATTATCATTCTTCATTTTATCTTGAAGAAATAACAATCTTGTAATTATTTTATCAATTCAGAGAATTGTTATTAGCATTACCTCTGACATATAACATGATCAGAAGAGAACAGAGCATATCAATACAGCTACAATGCACTGATTCGGCGATAAATGACACGAAACATCTAATAAGCGAATTTGTTCCATCTAAACGAATTATACGACGCTGACGTATCAGTGATGCTGAAATCAAACAAAATACAAGAAATCAAATTCCTAAAAAGCTTTTGCTTTGGTTTTTGCATAAGTTTACTCGTCCAAAGATAAGTAAACTTGTGCAAAGCCCTAAATAATAAAAAACACCCTAAAATATAAAAATAAGTATATAAAATTCCCTTAAAATAAAAAAGATTAAAAAAATTTTATTTTTTGACGCTAAAAAAAGTAAAATTTCAGAATACTTCGAAATGAGTAATGAAAATTCAGTTGCATGTATTATAATAACAATTTTTTGATGCAGTAACCGAAATTACGGATGCATAGCATTTGAAGATCCCTACAGAATCCCGATTTTTGAGGTATATGACATGATTTAACTTAATATTTTACAAAGTATTTCATGTACCACCTAATAGGGAAAAGGAAATGTACCCGCATGTAAGCGGGTAAATGTAGCACTGTTAAGTACTTCGTTATATAAGAATAACTTCTCTCTCCAGCTAAATGAAAAGCAAAAACAAACCAGAAGGTTTGCAGCAAGTGATGAAACCTAAGAGAAGTCGACAGAAGAAGGATGTTGCCAATTCACTGCGACATACCTACACAGAAAAATATTTCATAGTAATAGTGTTGAAGGCAAAATTTCAATTTTTTAAAACAATCATTTAAATGATAATTCACCTGATATTTTGAGATATGAACATACTCGGCTATAATGCCAATTTATTGACATAAGAGATTATTTTAAAGTGATGCTATTTTATTAGATTTATTAACTTTTGAGTACTGTTTTTTAGTAATAATTCCATCACGAACGTATTAATCTCCTACCCGATGCTATGCCTAGAAGGGAAAAAATTTCAAAATGTCCTAAAATATAAATCAACTGAAAGGCAACACAAAATGCAATTTAACCACTATTTTCATGTGATATATCAGTGAATGCAAAAGACTATTTCAGCAAAATATGCGAAGAAGTGATAACCATGGTAAACTGGTAAAGCCAGTACGCCGACAAGAAGTTATACGAAAAAAAGATATATGAAAAGCAATATACCCAAATTTTCAAATAAATACAAGCTACCGTACCCGGAGACCATCAATAAAAGCCAATAGACGGGGTCCAATTTTTTCATACCAATAAGGATTCACTAACCTCAATGGCCTTCAACAGCTTAACCAAACATTCATTAATGGACCGATCATTTATATCTTGGAAAGTAGTGGTAGGGAAACTGACATTCTGGTCAGCTCCTTTTAAAAGAAAACGATAGCTCGAAACACTTTTTGCAACCTATAAATATGATCGTTTAATATAATTTATCATTTAATTGATTTCTGTGTCCAAACAGCAACACGATGATTGAGTAATCACAGCCGAACACCGATCAGACATAATTCCAAAAGCTTTAATTAAGCTAAAAATATCATATTCAATAAACTGACATTTTATGAAAAACAAATTACAGAAGCCAATCGGCAAAAATGTTACCAGTGTGATTTTTGATATTGCGGAATTTAAGTCAATGAAAAATGAGACAAATAATATAAACTACCGATTCAGTATATAGCTTGATTGAGATTTCTGTTTGCTCATGTAGTTTCGCTTCGCTATCACCTTTCAAAACCATTTCAATTAATCGTATTACGGATGCTGATAACGAGTTCTGAACATCACAGCCATTACTGAAATTGCGAGAAATAGAATTGCAAGGAACAGAACAGTACATATTTATCAGTAAATATAATCATAAAAATCGAAGAGGACTAATATGTGTTACAAATGTAACATATATTATAATTGTAGCACACATTACAAATTAACAGGAAAGAAAATAATAGGAAAATTCTGATTCATCCTAAGTAAAGCTTTTAAAGCCTCGTCGTTCGCAACTCAAGCAGATCTCAATCTCAAGCTTTATTTACAACGTCCAGAATTTGAAAATAGCATGAGCTCAGAAAAAACTACAAATTTGACCTGACGCTTACCATAACTGTTCTGAATTCTCATAATAAATGAAACTAAGATTGCAAAGTAATGGGCCTCGCTTTTTCTTTGTAAAATAAAAAAAGAACAAACTTGCACCTTGATGTCGATGAGCCTCCTTTAGACATAACTTTCGATCTCAGATAGCATCCATTTGTATAAGCATCACATAGATTCCTGACAACACTTGCAATTTAATCAACCATCAATCTTTAGGATCTATTCCTATTTTACTAAACCCGACATTATTCAGCAAAACAGTAACCAATTAGATGGAAGGATAAAAAATGGATTATTACACAGTATAAGATAGGAAAAGTGCAACATAAAACGAAAGATTTATTAAATTCAAACATGGAAGTGGACTATTCTTCAATATACACATTTTAAACATAATAGTAACTGCAAGCTATCTAGTACCTTTGGATGAGTAAACTGAAACTGAAAGTGGTAAAGGCAATTCAGGACAGTAACATGAAATTGATCAAGTCTGGATGAAGAAACATGATAAAAATATCTCAAACCTACATGATAACTTATATATCTAAAGGACTAACCAAAATTTTAGCACTTCTTTCCAAATGCCTTGGCAATACTTTATTTCTAAGAATTTTTCAACACAACTTCCCGGGGAAAAAATTCACGACGCTTACTATCGTATCATTCATTTTATTTTTATTTTAGATCGATTAATAGCAATCACAGTGAAAGCACAGGTAATCTGCTAATTCAATAATATAATCCAGTGAGCACCAAAGATGATGACATCAGGAACGGTTTTACACAGTCCTCACAATAAACGGTTTCGATTCTGTCACAATTTCATCAGTTGGTTTTACATTTGCATATAAAGGAGGAGATCGAAGCGGTAATGGATATGACTCCGTGACCTTTGCCTCATTATAATGGTTCACACAACTGAAACCAAAAAAAATGTTAGAGTAGTTTTATATTCAGTATTTTTTTCTGTTTTTTCCTCTGAAGAATAAAAAAATGTTGTCCAGAAACCATGCAACATCAAAAGTAAGTACGTACTTGCAAGACCATTCTCTACTACAATTCATTAATCGCACAATTAAAACTATATCGCAAAAATGAAGGAAACAATATATAAATGAAGTAAGAGGCATTCTTTTAAACATGGACTGAATTAACAACTAAAATTAAATCAGCAACCATTGAAAAGACGAAAATCATCGTAATAGCAAAATGATGAACAAGGAGAATATTTTTCCACAAATAATAATGCTCTGGTAACTTACAAGTATGCATGCTTTCCACCTGTTAACTCGAATTCAACAAGCCGAGTAATCCCAAGATCCTCCAACGTTGGACATCCAGTAAGTACATCACTTGTACATTCAACTACTCGAATCCATTCTAAACTTAGTGGTGGAGGGTTGCGAAAGAACTTGAAGGGTAACTCAACAGCTGCTACATACGCCCTGTAATAAACATATATTATAGCATATAGCAGATACCTATTTAAGTACCAATGTTAATAAATTTTTACATGCATTTGTTAAAAATAACCAATTATCTGCACGTTGTAGCGATACATTTTCAGCTAAAGTATGATTATACTAATCGTAGTACCATCTAGTTTAATCCTGTTTTCTAAATTATACTACTTAGCATGTAGAAGTATTTTTTCTATATACTCATAGCAAACACTGTGCTTCAATACTCCAAATATTGCTACCCTATATGACGATATATATCAAAATTAACTTTTATGAGGAAAAATCTAATACCTGTATAAGTAATTTAGATTTCGACGGCGATAATGTCGGTGAGGGAAACGTGATGACAGATGAGCCCGATCATACATATAGTCAATTAATTCAGAGAGTTTATAACAATGAGGCCCAACGAATTCGTATGTTTTGCCAATAGCATGTGGATCTACGATAGTTTTTTCAACACCTTTTGACACATCACCTACCTATAATCGGTTTTACCAGCATATTGTTCATTCAAATACAAGCGATTAGAAGAGAAAAAAGAGTAATAATCTAAAACATCATCTTAAAAACAGAAAAAATATTTGTGCAAGTTCGATGGCGCAGTTAAATTTATATTGCTGCTGTAAAAAAGACCGAAATTATTTCTGAGAAAACGACAAATATTCCACTTCTTTTTGATCAAACATATCAAGATTGCCAAATATCATATAAAATCATGGTTATTGCGCATTTTATGCTAAAAAAGGTGTTAAAAAGGTGTTAATGTGATTTTCTACTAAATTGTCGCATTGAAATCTTCGTGAAAATATATTTGTAGAAAAGGAAATCTAAAATTTATTTCGTCTAAGTAAAGTTCGAAATTACCCAAATGGGCATTTTGTATGTGTGCTCTCCCTTCTTGTACACGTAAATCACACTTCTGTGTGGGATGCGCTGAAGTGCCAGAAAATAATTAATGAATGCATCGTAGTTTCCTCCATACATCACTGATGGTCTGAAATTTCGTTGATTAGAAAAGCTCTTAAATATAACTTATTAGTTTTCTTCAACTTTTGCCGCAGATGTATGATAATTTGAACGCATCAAATATTATAAAATATTTACAAACACGAGTATCACATTATCGTTGTTAGTGCTGTTAAAATTTCAACCCGAGAAATAGCTTCCTAGAAGCTTAGAAATTGATGTGCTTAATAAATATACCTTATGATGGTAGCGTTCGGGAATTCTTCACGAACGACTTCCTCGCCAAGTCCTTTGGTAAGAAGAAATTGTGATGGCTTATTGAACAGTGTCGGTGGAGTATCTTTAGAGGCATTCATTGCCGACATGTGAATGAATCTGAAGAAAAGTAAGATTCAAGCTTTCGTTTGATAATTTCTTAGAGGTTTTCTATTAATATTAAATATTAATTAAATATATTAAATATTAATTAAATATTAATATTAAATATTAATAGAAAACCTCTAAGAAATTATCAAACGAATTCGAAATTTATCAAATTCAAATTCCAAATTTTAGCAAAATTGTGACTGACTTTTGAATTCCCATTTCTTTAGCAATCCGAGCAATTCGTCGTGCTCCTTCAACATGAGTAGCTTCAAATGAATAGTTTTTCGTTTCGCATCTTGTACCGATTAAATTTACAACTACGTTGCTGTATCTAATGGCTTGTCTGATACTTTCCTCATCTTTTAGTTGAAATGGTAATAGCAATACTTGACCAAGTTCTCCGTGTACCTAAACCATCTTCATAGATTTGATTTTAAGATAAACTCCTGAAAATTTACATAACAAACAAATAAATGAGTTCTTGTGAATCTAATTCTTGTGTACTATCTCACATACTTCAAACTTCTAAAAACGGAGAACAAGAAAATGGCAAATAAATGAACTAATAAGTAACAGAACATTTGCAAACACTCTCTATTAACAGAATAATATAGAAATAGGAAACGAACTCTTAGGTGCCGGGTGTAATAAGGATCCTGTCGACTGGGTAAAATAATTTGATGGCCTTCTTTGGCAAGTCGATTTATCAATAACTTCCCCAATAATCCAGTGCAACCAAATACAGTTACTACATTCCCGGAGAAACTGCATCGACCACCTGTGCCCTGCAGTGCACGTACGAAAAAGCTAATAATTAAGAAAAGTTGTTGAAAAGTTTGTCAAAATTTCTATAGTTCGAGGTTTAATAAAAGCTTGCCTTCCTGAATGCTGCAAGTTTACTTGTTGGGCTCGGTTTTGGCAAATCGAGCTGTGTTGCGGACGTACTGCAGTAAAGTGCCTTGTAAATGCTACCTTCAGTCCCCAACATACGGTACCGTCGGATATTGCTAACAACAAGCATTTCCAGTCTGTACAGAAGTGTGTATCGACTTCAAAGTCTTTTCCTCGATAAATATCTATAAACGCATATATAACTTCGGTTTTCATCTAAAAAAATTGAACCACTGAAACCAAGTTTTGAGTATGTCACTACCCTTTTCGTTAAGTTAAACACGTACATCGATTTGAATCGCGATTTCTCCTAAAGAATGCAAACATTTCCTTCAAAAATTGATAAGCTTCGAATATCAAATTTATGAAATTTGAAATTAATTTAGTCCAACGAATAGTTAAACATTTATCCTCAAACATTTTGTAGTTAAGCATTAATCTCTATTACAATGAGATAATTTCAAAATAGTTCAAGCGTAGAGTGCGTATCTAGAATGTTCAACAGTCCATGTAAATGGCATCATTTATTTGCATTCAAATGAGTAGATGAGCAAACGAAAAAGCAGTATACGACAAAATATCGCCACTTTTGGAAATATCAATTCCACCATTATTCTAAATAATTTAAAGTTGACACACTATACAAAAAATAAATATATCGTATGAGATTGAGAGCTAAATTCACAATAGCATAAGAAAAATTTTTTCTAAATATGACAATATCATAGTATATCATAGTTTTGTCTAGCAAACAATGTCACTATATGGCACATATTACCATAAAATGGATTTTTAAAAATTTGAATAAATTAGGATTTGATAATATGTGATAAACTTTTGGTTTTTATAGTCTAAAAATTAAAAATAGGTACAGCATAAATCAACTATCAAGTAATCCCATTCAACGTTTGACAGGAAACCATAACCAGTATCATGTGAAAAAAAATTAGTTGAGCAAGGCTTTGATAAAGACGACACGTTGATCATTAGTTAATTTGTTGGAGAAATCTGAGTAGTATTTATCCCTTATATAAGGTATTGATTTCTAGTGCTTCTGCAATCAAAAACGGAAGCTTGAGATAAAAACTCGTTTAGCAGTTGTCTCATCAAGTACTGCCTAGTCCATACGCACCACCACTCTAAATATAAAATATTTAAACAGTGTAAAGTTACCATGACAACAAGAAACATAAATGTATAGACTTATACATCCACACACCTACGCATAAATGCTCACATCTATAGACATGCACATGGACAGAATTACAAACGATAATAGACGTAGAGATAACGGTAATCGCTCGATATAATAAATTTAAAATAAAACAGATTTTCTGAGACTCAAAATTATGTGTAATACAGATTAATTGGAATTTTTTACCAAAGCTCAAAATTCACATCACAGATCATACTCGTCTCGCTATTACAGAAAAAATTTACATCACACGAACTGATAAATAAGTCATTAAAACCTATAAAATAAACCTACATTTATAGCATAACACTCTTCCTCGGATATTTGTTTACGACGAAGAGAAACAGGTAGTTGCCAATCCTCTATCAATTGTCTTCGTTGCGCTTTAGTTTTTACAACCGATGGTGACATGTTCAACGAAGAAAACGGCATTTCTGAAGATTAAAACTTTCATGAAATTTCTTCGAAAGGAAAATTGAAGTCATCCAATAATTATTAAAAGCTTGATCTTTTTCTTTGTAAATCCATATTTGATAATTCGGTATGGACTGAAATAGTTTATCCACTCAATTACTTGAATTAAATTATTCCTTACCAGTCCAATACAACTGCATATAATGAAAGTCTGCTACATTCTAAAAACAATCTTAGAACTGAAAACGGAATAAAACCAGGATATTTTTATCATGAAGGACTAACCAGACGCTGATGAAGATTTCGATTCATATACCGATGATGGTAGAGCTGACCTGGAAAAAAAATGACAGAGGTTGCCAATTAGCTTGATAAAACATGCAGAGTTGCACAACCGCGTAGTCTTTTTACTACTAACTATGTTTGAGGAAATTTTATTGCTTCTTCAGAATATGAATAAAGTTAAAAATACTTACCGATCATAGTGAGGTCGTGGAAGTCGAGCACCAATAAATTTAATTAGTGGCTTACGCACCTGACTCTGAAAAAAATTAGATGCGAATTTGGAATCTAAGCAGCACTGATCCCGAATCAAAAGAGCTATCTGGTCGTTTAACTGACTGGGCAATAAAAAAAAACGCTGTAGTTAGAGAAAAACCCATATCACCTAGTGTCAAACTGCATTATTCTATCCATATGATAATCAAATTATTTGCAATTCCAAAATACCATCTAATGTTTTACAGTTGCAATTCTAAAAATTATTAGCCTTTAGAAAAAAATTGGTGTAGGAATAATACTATAAAATACTTCTAGAATTATCCGGAAACGATATAAAAATATAACAAGTAGTAGTATAGTGTAATGTTATACTTTACGCTCCAACGAAAAGTAAATTGAAACTAGTCCTCAACGATAGCTGCTACTTGATAAATAACTCACAACTATTGATAAATGATGGTTCATTTTTTCTTCAAACTTTTTGAGATGCACTGTTTCGTTTGAAGTATTACCGCAGTAATTACCTCCACGTACTTCAATTTTACGTTGAACCAACACCGGGCTAGTTGTTTCTAATTCTTCCGTGCAATTTTCTGACTCCGATCTCTGCAAAAAATAATGGAAGCGATTTGGAAAAATATAAGAATAAAGCTCGAAGTAGAAAGTAAATTCTAAAAAACTTTCAAATGATAAAAATAAAACTTCCATCACTTCCAAGCAATTATTAGAAATGAAAAAGTGTGCTCCCAAAAAATACAAGTGTTTAAATGATCCCAAAAAAGAGTGATACGTTAAAAGGTTTCCCCTGGAATACCGAACGATACAGCTTAGAAATCCACTGATAAACCGAAAGATATCTGAAAATGAAATTACATTCACTACTCTAAATACTACCTAAAACAGAGAAAAATTTGCTTAAGAATGTTATGCTATATATTCCAGGTTGGATCAATTCTATTGTTATTGTTATGAACAATTATTCATCCAATCTACAAGTAAACATCAAATTCCTAAGCTAATTATGCCTTAGAATATAAATGAAATAACTTTTTCATACAATTAAATT